TGCCTTGGCAGTGTTTTACAGATTAAAAGTTGATTTCATTGTTGATTCTCTCAGAACACCAAAGGCTAGTTTTCGGTTTCATCTCAGTGATTTCAGTGACTGAAGGTCTTGTGACAGACTTGCATCATTAGGTTTGAACCTCAGACTTACAATCTGCTCAACAGAATCTGTGCCCACAGATGATGAAACGAATGACTCTAGCATTCTGGTTGAAATGGAAGCTATGGTCATATCACAGCGATGCTTTGAGACAACATTTTAATGTTTCCAGGTCTATCGTTTTAAGATTATGTGATGTCTGTTTAAAAATGTCGAGTTTGACTTTCAATTACATGTTTGTAAGAGATTCATTTAGGTTTTTAACACATCCTGTCCCACCAGTTTCATCAGACTATTATTCTCATCAAACCTCAGAGAATAATTGTCTACTTTGTGTGAACAGGCTTTCAGCAGCATGTTAGGAATGGGAAAAGAGGGCAGAAATCAATTAGCTGTTGCTCTTGCACTGCATAACTTAAAGACTGAATTCATATTCCTCTCAATCTGTAGAGTTAGAGGAATAATTATGCATTAATCATACACTTAAATATGGCAGACTGAAATGTTTCATTACAAACAGGGATTCAGTGTAAAGTGGATGCTGTGCCCTCCAAATTATTTTGTGGCATTCTGTTTAATGTTAAAATTTCCCTTCAAGCCGACTCTCTGCCTTATCTGCTTTTTGCATTCTCAACCTCCTCATTGTAGCACTGAAATTAATCAGCCTTTAATGATGTTCAATTATTGAAATGTACACTCTCAAAGTCACGTTTAAATTTGAGCAACTTATCTCAGCGTTCTCTCTGGTGAATTCTGAATCTCAATCTTTTCTTGATTTAAATATTTTGACAGGAATGTTTTTTGGATAAATGTTTTGGAAGTTGACATTTCCTGCACTGTGAATGTCAGGATTATATTCCATTTGGATTGCATTTTCACAGTTTTTAATGTGTGATTTTATTTCTGTTTTCTGAGTTTCTCTCTCTGATTAACCTGGTTCGTTTACTAAGGCTATGTTTACACGGAAACAATCTAAAGAGAAAATTCAAAAGTAGCGTTGTGTTATCACTTTTTATTCTGCATTTAGACGAGTGTTTTGGGTGGAAAATCCGCGTGCGTATGGTAAGGCAAAAGTGTGCGAAATTCGATGTAGTATGCACTCTAGGCAGCTAGGTGGCGATGTGGAGCACTGCCACAAAACAACACCAAGCCCGCGCGCCTGTGTACAACCTTCACTGTCTAGAAGACGTTTTTACCCTTTAGACGGGAACATGACGGTGGAGCGTTTTCAAGATTTCCACTCTGGAGGGTGATTTCCTTTTTTGCGTTTTTAAGCCCCCAAAACGGCGTCGCCGTGTAAAAGAAAGCCACATCTGATAAAATATTTTTACGTTCTCATGTAAACAGGGCCTTAGTTTCTGATTAGTTTCATGCGAATGACCAATGTAATGTTTCTACGCTATCTCACGACCAATTCGTACGAATTCGTATGAGTGATTAAAAAGTGGTTAATTCGTACTAATTTACACGACTTGTCCAAACCCACATGATGGGTAGGTTTAGGGGCGGGGTAAGGGGTAGGTCATTCGCACGAATTCATACGAATTGGCCAATTCGTAAAATATGTACGATTTAGCAAAAACCATAATTCGTACGATTGAGGTAGAATTAGCCACCTCGTAAAATTCGTACAAATTCTCATGAGATCGGGTTGAATGTTTTGATTTCTGAATGCATAAAAAACGATATTAATTCATAAACGGTTTTCTAACCTACAATAATATTACGAGACAACTGACATTTAAAATCCTTATTTCAATACAAAGTGCAATAATAGACAATAATGAATTGTCATAAAACTGCAGTTCTGTCAGGTCCATTAAGTCAAGAACACACATGGAAATAAATGATTAGGAAATTGTACTGAATAAAATGCAATTCAAGTTGATAATTAAAGTTGGCAGCATGGCTCTGTTCAGGGAGGACAGAGGACAGAAGCAGCATTAGGGAACGCTCACAGGAGAGCAGAACTATTCCCCGAACAGAGCAGCAACGATAACAGAAAAGCAAATGCCATGTTATATACAACTAGGAGGAGCTGGGGAGGAGGTGGATTACAGAGAGCGAGCAGAATCGGCTTATATAGGGCGCCCTAATTTGAGCGTACTCATTGGCAGCGAGGGGAGATGAACAGCCAACCCGATCTCACGACCAAGTCGTACGAATTCGACGAATGATTACAAAGTGGCTAATTCGTAACAATTCATACGACCTCATTCGTACGAATTAATACGATTTTGCTAAATCGTACATATTTTACGAATTGGCCAATTCGTATGAATTCGTACGAATGACCTACCCCTTACCCCGCCCCTAAACCTAACCATCATGTGGGTTTAGACAAATCATACGAATTAGTACGAGTGAGGTCGTACGAATTAGTACGAATTAGCCACTTTTTAATCATGCGTCGAATTCGTACGAATTGGTCGTGAGATAGTGTTGGAACAGCAGATGCGCTGGTGCAGCTCAGCTGAGCAAGATCGCTGATGAGACCGTGCTGATGGCCGATAGCGTTAGCAGCATCTTGAGAACTGTGCCTAGAACTGACGCTGATGCTCAATTTCTGCCCTGTAATTAAATGGATATTTAGACAAATAAAATCTCTTTGAGTTCATCTTCCCACACCTTATTAATTAATTCCCAGATTTAGGCCCCGTCCACACTACTGCGTTTTCGTTTAAAAACGGAGACCTTTTGCTACGTTTGCACCTCCCGTCCAGACTAAAACGGGAAAAACGAAGACCTAAAACGGAGAAGTTTAGAAAACGCTGCAGCTGCGTTTTGCGTTTTGAATCTCCGGAGGGCGTTTTAGTGTGGACGAGACAAAACGGAGGAGTTTACAAACGATGACGCAGAGGCTCACGCTCGGCGATTGGGTGTTATCAGTCATGACGTGTCCTTCCCTGATTCGCCAATCACTGTTTACACCGGCGCGCGCATGCCCAGTGTTGGTGAATGGTCACGTGATCCGCGTTTTCAGTCGTTTTAGTGTGGACGGAGATAAATTCTAATACTCAGGTAAAACGCTGGTGTGGACGGAGATCGTTTTCGTTTTAATTCCCCATTTTTAAACAAAAACGCAGTAGTGTGGACGGGGCCTTAGTATAATATGACCAAAATTTAACTAAAAAGAACCATAAGTGTGTTTCAAAAAGCATAAAAAGTTGCCCTCTTGTTGTTGCAAACCCTTAAGACTTTCATTTGTGTGACAAAATAATTTTTTTTTTTTTTTAGAAGAAGAATGATCATCCTGCTCTTTTCTATAGCATGAAAGTGTATGTGGAAAATGGGCTGTCGAATCTCCAAAAAAAAAAAGAAAAAAGAAAAAATCATGAGCAGCTTGGACATTCTGCTACAAATATATTTCATTTTCCACAGAAGAAAGCAAGCCACACAGGTTTGAAAAGACATGAGGCCGTTTTATTTTTGTAGATTGATAAATTAAACGTGAATGAAGAGTTTTTGGTTTCAAGATTATTTTTTTTAGTGTCTTGTCTCAGAAGCTATTTCCCTGTCATAATTTGCAAGATAACTTTTTTCTCCAAGCGATGCCGATAGCTTTCCTTCCAGCAGAGATGTTATGCAGCCTTTCATAATACTTCACATGCAAACACATAAGATCCTATGTTCACATTGTTAATGATTACTCATTTAATCGTGTGAAATTCAAATAACATACATGCAGATAATAAGAACGGAATCATATTTGGAAAACAAAACTCTCCCAAATAAACACCCTATTGCTGCTCTTCATGAGTTCACATCTCATTTCTTGCTCAGAGTGAAGCCTCTCTCTTTCTTTGAGGATGTCAGCATGGAATCATCTATTTAGGATCAGTTATCTTTAAACAAAGGGACAGTTGACCTGACAATCATCATTCTAACATTTACTTGCGTTGTTCGAAACCCACATGACTTTCTTTCTCCATTATTCAAACACGTGAGGCTGTAAGTTCTATAAAACAAACTCTGTTTGTAAAGGATGACATAATCCCTTTAAGTGCATCTCTGCAGATTATATATGAAAGCTATCATACCAGCCCGTTCTCATCCTTTAACGTCATATAGAGCGCTATATGACAAAACGGCGCTATACTACGCACATGGCACCCGTTATCGTTAATATAACACGCGAACCCAAGACGTTATAAATCCTTTAGCGTGAATATGACACGTACACCCTACCCCACACCTAAACTTAGCCCTCACAGCACGTGTTATATTAACGATAACGGGTGCCTTTAGCGTAGTATAGCGCCGTTTTGTCATATAGCGCTCTATATGACGTTAAAGGATGAGAATGCGTTGATCATACTGTTGCTAATGGCTTTGATAAACAGGTACCTTCTTCACTTATAATGTGAAATATCACCCGAGGTTGTCACCTACCAATTGTTATGTGCCATGTACTAACAGTGAATTATTAACAAGCGGCAGATATGGTAACATGCTTTCTTGTCGCTATGTCTAGAATTTCTGTTCTTTTTGCAGGTGTTTTTTTTCTGTAAGTATGGATCTCAAAAGCCAAACTGTGTCACAAAGTGAAAGTTGATGTTATAGGGTGGGTTTACACTTTAAATCCGAAGCTATTTGTGTTGCTGTTAAATAAATAAAACATGTTTGTTTTTGTTTTTTTTGTATTAAAAATTGAGCTGCTTGACTTTTTTAGTTTCAGGCTACTTCAAACAATCTGGAGGTGCACACCAAGAACAGTTCTGACTTCAAGCTCTTTTATATCATATACAAAGCTAAGATGCATAAATGTTTACCATGCTGCTAGCATGGATGGATGGATGAAACTAATGATCTTCTGTTGAGAAGATTGACTCGGTGGAGGACAGGGACCCGACTCGGAAGGTGGCCCGAAGCAGGGTCTGAGTGTGGTTACTTACACTTACATGTCTCCATGAGACTTCCAGGGATGCGTGAGAAGGCGGATGACCGGGTCCTCGAACCGCACCCAGATGCCAGGCTGGTGAACTAGAGGGGGCTGAGGGGTGGGAGGCTTGCTGGGTCGCACACCGCCAGACTTGCCCTCTTGGTACCCAGCAGCAGAGGACTTTGCTCTTTCTTTGGAGTGTGGGTATCGCTTGCTCCGCTTCTTTTGGGAGCAGCGTCAGAACAGACACACACACAAACAGAGACTCCACCTGGCTCTGACCTGGGGGGAGGGAGTGGATCAGTGACCAACTCCCTAGGCATCCTCCTCCATCCCTGATCCAAACAAAACAATGCCTGGAACGTACTCCCTGAAATAGTGTTGTGTTTGTTTGGCTATTGGTGGCCAAAAAGGATCAACATTGCCCCTTCACCCCCTTAAGGCGTGAAATGAAACATCTAAAGAAAATAAACCAACATGAAACATCATCTTAATCTCAAATGTCATTTGACATTCCTCAATATTTTTTCATTGCACCAAGTGAAAATAACGAACAATTATTTTACAAATTGTTGCATATTTGAATTACTGTAAAAAAAAAAGGCTAATCCGACAGCTCACATTTGGTTATCCTTAGTTTTATCTTATCTGTTGACAATTTAATCCAAAAATAACTAAGTTCGTAACCAAGGAACAAACCAGTATCTTTTACAGTACGCTGTGCTAATGCGATTCCTTCCCTCCAGCAATGTGAACGCTTTAGTATCATTTTGACATTTTCTGTTTTATGTAACCTCATGCATTACAAATGAGCTTATTATAAATAACAGACGTCCAAAGGGTTTTTAAAATGGTCATGAAACAGTCTAATTTTAGTGTCAGCAGACTGGCATGAAGATGACGGTCTTTGGAGATATTCATACTTTGCACGTGACGTCACAAGTACTGGCTGGCGGGAAAGAACGTCGTTCTCTAGCAACGAAACCCAGTAAACTAATCGATCTTGCCAGGACGTCGCCAGTTTTAATGGTGTTTTGAGGTGTAATTGACATGCCAGATAGTTGTTGTGCGATTGGATGCACTAATGTCAATCATGTAATCTTGACATGAACGTTCTAACATGGTGTCCAGTAGGTGGCGAGAACGCATTGTACGCAATATATGATATGAGAAGATAAATACATGGAGAATGAATCACATGTTACTGTTGTATTGTGCCTACTTATCACCTAAAGTTACTTTGCATGCATAACTACAACTTAACATGATTAGTTATACTCATTTCGCTGCTCTTGTCTGTTGTCTTATGCTATGTAGAGTGGATTAGCAGGTAGGCTACAATGTTTGACATCCTGCGAGCCATAAATGATATGGTTGGCATACGTTTTTATTTTGTACCATCAAGCTGTCATTCGCCGGCAGGTAGTGTGTACATATTCAGATGAAGACTTCATCGCACAATGGAACAGATGTCACTTTGTGTAACATTAGCAAACACACCTTTGCTTTGATTATGAAGATATTCCTGTTTTTCACCTCCCATACGACAGCATTGTTAACCCATCCACTTTTGAAAAAAAGATAGCTATCTGTACTTTTGTAGGCTTTCATTTTTTATGCAGTGTAAGGTGACGGATTCTGATGAGATATATGTAAATATCTCCAAACTCCAAGCTTCAAACAAATGAAAACATCAGCGGGTGCCGTGTACAGATCACACGTTCCGAGTATGTTAACCGATCCTACGGCGTCATCTAACTGACGCTAAAGGAAAGCGTCAGTTAGAGGACGTGGTTAGGTTTAGGTGTGGGGTGGGGGTAGGGTACAAGCGATCCTAGGGCGTCATCTAACTGACGCTAAAGGGCGCCTAAAGCGTCAGATATTGAAGCATGTCCAAATGCTTCCCAAGGCGTCAGTTAAGTGATGCCTTGGGGGTGAGAATGGGCTGGGTCTAAATAGTTAATTGATTGTAGTATTGGAAATTTGCAAGGCTGGAGTTCCCCTGGTATCCATGGTAGTCACGTGACTGCAAAGTATGAATATGTGGGGTGTGAAGCTCTAGTGAGAAAAGGCACAAAAAAGAAGGGTTTTAAGAAAAGTATGTTAAAAATAACATGTACGTATGTTACAATCACAACCTTGGATGTGAAGCTGAAAAACTTTTCAAGTAGTTTGCAATGGTGCATGTTCAAATCAAGGCAAACATTGTGCTTAGTAATCACAGCAGGGTGTACGCAGCCTCTTTTCTTCCACTGAGTGCTACTTCACTCAGTTGTTTGTCTGCGCAAGTGGCTGTTCACTCATTGGTGGATGTCTGAGATGTGAAAGTGTAGGCCCTATGTCCTGCAAGCTCTGACTGTCATAACCTCACGGGCTGAAGGTGCAAAGTCGCACCATTCTGCATTTAGAATTGGTATATTGTTACAGCTAAACGGACTTGACCTGTGGTTGCTATCCATTTCAGTTTGTGATGAAGCATGGCAGATTTGGTTGACACTTTCTGAAGTGAAATTTTATAAATCACTTTGTGACTCGCTAAAGAATTACATTATTTAACAATTTTCCAGTGCACTCAATATGGTGAACTATCCAATAACATTCTATTTAAATAAGTCCATTTAACATTTTAAGAGCCCTTCAAAAATAAGAGCCCTCCTTGGAACATTTGTGCTTTGGGCTATATGCTTGGAAAAGTGCTGCAGCAATTAAGTACTTTTGTAAGGTTACCGAACCCGAACTCAGTGGGTTTTTTGAATGCTCTTTGGTGAAATGCCTGATATAAATTCTGTGGTTAACACAAGCTCAAGATATTTTCACGTGGATTGAGGAGAGTGTTCCGCCATGGATGCTCGAGGCGTTGGACTTGCCGGCAAGGACGGATGCACTCATGGAAGGGACAGCTGCTGTCGGAAGTTGCTGCCGAGGAGCTCCAGAAGGCAAGAGAAGACCAGACCTAGGCTAGGACATTTTAAGTTGTTATTTTTGTTTATACAGTAGTTGTCCACAAGGGGCAGCCATTTACTTTCAAGTAGTTTGATTACGTTTGTTTTCTGGTTCCCACCTACTTCTCCCCGTATCTACAAACTTTGTTACACTAACAAGTGGCACAACAGAGGTTGTCTGTGACATTAATCATCACACAGAACAGGAAAACCCATCTTTTCACAAGTCTGATTTTTCAACATCCGATGCACATGGCACCCTTTATTGTCAATATGATACGCGCCTCCTAGCGGTCTAACCAACACTATCTCACGACCAATTCGTACAAATTTGACGCATGATTAAAAAGTGTCTAATTCGTACTAATTCGTACGACCTCACTCGTACTAATTCGTACGATTTGTCTAAACCCACGTGATGGTTGGGTTTAGGGGCGGGGTAAGGGGTAGGTCATTCGTACGAATTCATACGAATTGGCCAATTCGTAAAATATGTACGATTTAGCAAAATCGTATTAATTCGTACGAGTGAGGTCGTATGAATTGTTACGAATTAGCCACTTTTTAATCATTCGTCGAATTCGTACGACTTGGTCGTGAGATCGGGTTGGTCTAACCCGAACCCTATACCGTAAACCTACCGGCGTCATCTAACTAACGCTAAAGGTTGCCATGTGCGTCGGAATTAGACGCATGGTCAAAAGTGTCAGTTAGATGATGCCCTTGGAAGATAATGTGTGTTAATAATTTAGCTCTTTCAAACTATTCTGAAAGAGTCTGACTGAAAGAGTTGTCGAAAGCTTAATGGTGGTGATATTGAAGTCACGTGACTGATGTGTAGTTTGTTTATAGCCAACAATTAGCTTTTTACTACATGTGCTGATTTATAGCAAATATTAACATGACATCATGACTTTTGCGTAAACACTCACGCCACTTTCAAGTCAAGTGGCGTGTTATCTATACGCATTTTGAGCTATCCTATGCCTATGTATGTCTATGCCGTTAAATGTCCGAGTGATTCCGCGTGCATGTACTCGCCGTTAAATGTCCGAGCGAAACGAAGCAAAATGTAGATCTACATCTGGGGAACGATATTTTTTTTTCCTTAGGATGGTAGGGGAACACTCATAAATGGTATTAACCCCAGTGACGGGTAGGTTTAGGGACGGGGTTGGGGTAGGTCATATATTTATATGTAAAGTTAAGTCAACGGCGTTCATAAACACGCTGAAAAGCGGTTATGTGCGTTGATAGCGCGCCAAAAATGGAAATACGAATTGGCGTGTCATACATACGCCAGTTCATGAGATCAGTCTGCAACATGTCTGGTCCCATGAGGTGTCTTCATCTCATCATTTTAACCCTTTTTTATATTTAATAATGTTTTTGTTAAATTTTTAATGAGGAAAAAAATCTGAGTGAAGCTTTAACGTATTTGTGGACAGGGTTGCTATTTATGTGACTATGTAGGCTATATTTGAACGTGGTGCTCTAGCATTTTTTATGCTATTAATATGAATTAGATCTGTGTTATTTTAAGAGACATAACCATATATCTATCGACATATTGTGACTGTTTCAAACTCATGCAGTTAATGTTGATCTCATTTGTCATGGTGAAATCGAGTTATGATATCAGTCTCCATCTGGTCCTCATCCACAAACAGCATAAAACCCCTCTGCAAAACAACAGCAATCGTCTCTCTGATTTCCCCCTGTTTGACTCCAGAACAGCAGAAGATCACTTCACATTGGGCAAACCACCCTTTTATGATTTGTAAAACAATTGTCTCTGTCAGTCGTATCTCAAACACAGCCATGACAATCATTTTGTCATTTGTCACTCAGGTTTCAGATGAAGTCATCAGCTCCGCGGCTCAGGGTTTTGAGAGGAGTTGTTCAAGTGTCTTTTCACACGTAAACGTTGATTTAACTTAAGTAGCACCACACTGATTAAAAATGATGTAGAATTTATTTTGAAACAGTTTTCACTCCACAATTTTGATTACATTTTACAAATAATTACAAAGAGACCGCAAGTAACATTTAATTAAATTTGATAGTTTAAAGCAGAAAGGCTTTTTTTTAGTTGTTGTTGTTATGCTGTATGTAATCCTATTCAAAATTCTAAACTTTTGAAATGGATTTATATTTCTAAATTATAAATGTAAAATGTATACATTAATTACATTTCTTAAATAAAAAATGCTTAAATACCCATTATTCATGAATTGTTGTGAATGATTCATGAATTTTACTTCAAACAATTCTGGGTAACGCTTCGTTTTCTGGTACAAGTACTAGAAAGTAATGCTAATATAAGGTAAGTACATGGGTTAGGGGTAGGTTCAGGGTTATTAACTAGTTATTACCCAATAATTGTATTTAATAAGTACACATTATGTACGTGGAAAGGAAGCGTTGAATGATGTACAAAACCCCATTTAATGCGAAACACATTATATATTTTAAAGAAAACGCTTGCAAATCTAAAAAATATTATAGTTTATATAATATTGTATTCTCATTTTACTAAGCCGAAAGAAGTGATTATGATATTATCAGCACATTATTTACTTTATATTATAATGAGAGTGTCTCTTTTTCCTGCTCACTATTACAGTAATGATAAATGCACATTTTAGACATTTTAATGTTTTTAACAATTATTTCAATTTTGGTTGTTTTCCTGTTTTCATAGATGACCTGTTCCTTGTGTTTTGGTTATTTTGTTAATACATGCGATTATTGCAATTGTATCCTATTCTCTCCTGCATTTTTAAAGCTCACTGTCATAATAAAATTAATTAAATTATTTATTTTTCTTAAAAATTAATCCCTGACCCTTGGGGGTCCCCATACCCTAAACTGAAATACCCTGGAATGGAGTTGAGATTACTACATTTCTATTACTAACTGAATATATTACTGAATCAGCCTAATTAAAACTATTTTTTTTAAACTCTCTCAAAATGCAATTATAATGAGAAGGGGAAAAAAGATAAGTAAACATCTATGACAGGCATTCAAATTTAACGTAAATCATTTAGCAATGAAAAGATATATGTCCGCTTACAGGTACGACAGATGCCAGCTTTACAGAAGGTCATCACGAAAGAGATGCATTAATCAACAGTCAAATAATTGTCGTCACAGCATGTCGCATGGAGATTTGACACATAACGATGACATTTGCGACTGCATAGACTGGTTTCATTTGAAACTGGGTCACTTTTGGCTGACAGTAAGCTTTTCAAATTTGCATGTTAAACGGTGCCATTAAGATAACTGTCTCTTCAATGAATTCAACTCTCTTCATCGTGTCCCGATGATGATTGCCAGCTTATGGGAAGACAGTCACAACTGTCATTCCAATCCTTAACAAATTACAAAAATGAAATCTTTCCCCACACAAGCTCACTTATCCATCCATCTATAAACACACACACACACAAGCATGTTTAGTTGTACTGTATGGATGGTGAGGCATTTCATATCATGCCTGATTAAATTTGTGAATGATTTCAGGCAGAGATCACACTTATCAGAGGCTGATGCTGAATTAAGTTGGAAGGAAGCAAAAATATACGATGAAACAGCAATATAACGTTCCACGTCATCTTCACGAAAATCGCCCGAAACGATTCCCATAGCAATTTCAAGCAGATGCCCACTCTCTGACCACGGGTTGAAAAGAAAGGTCTATACTGGGACATTTTGACACACACGTATATAATGGAATGGGCCAGACGATAGCTTCTGACAAACGTGTACCGTGGGACGAAGCCTCCGCTTCAAAGCTGGAAGCCAACAGGCCAAGGACACTAATCTCATCCCCTGTTATAACTCCTGTTTCTCATATGTTTGCTGTCAGCCGAACGCATAAATCATAGCTGTGGACTCTTTAGCGGTGTTGTCAAAGAAAAAAAACATAAAGGGAAAAAGGAGAGAGTCGGGAAGGAAAAAATAACACTTAAAAGATCCACTTACACTATGACCTTTCGCAGTGAGAATAAACTGAGAATCTGAGAATCTACTGGAGAGGTTCATCTTGCTGATAAAACCTTAAGGAAAATATGTTCAGATAGATAGACATTTCTTTATTTTTATTATTTTTTTTGCAAAATCTTTTAAAAAAATGCAAATAATCAGCATAAGGAAATCCAAGAGAAAGTCTCCCTTTTTATCCCCACGACAAATACAAATTTTAAATGAACCAGACACAAATGTTCAAATGCATAAAAAGTAAGCCTTAATTGCATCATAATGCAATATTAAATCAGATTACATGAGACTGGATACCGTCAACTGTTTGAATACACTGTAAAAATGAATACGCTATATCTAATTAATAAAATTGTGACAACAGATTGCAAGCAATATTATTAATTAAATTTAACAAAGTAAAACGGAGTAATAATTCATCAAATTTACAAAAAAAAAAAACATATCTGAATAACAGATAGACGTCAGCGATTAATGAAGAACTCTTTATTTTATATTTCCAGAAGACACCTGATGTTAACAAGCAGAATCACTGAAGGAGAAAACCATCATTTTAAGTCACCATTATGGTGATCAATGTTTGTTTTAGTTGGGCTCTTGATTCACTTTGTTTTGTTTGGCTGATATAGATGAGTTATAACATTAAAATAAACAAATAAAAAAGGTTATCTGATTGTGTTGGTTATGTTTAACATAATTTTTTCACAATCATTTGACTGGTTAACTTTTAAGGAATTAATTTGATTAATTATTACACAATTCTAATTTGTTCAATTTAATTAATAATATTGCTTGCAATCTGTTGAAAAAAGCTATTTTTAACGTGTACTGACATTCTTAAAAATATTTTAGTTTGTGTTCAGCAGAAAAAAAGAAACTCATATCCACAAGTTTCCTACGCCCCGTGAGGCCTTGCGTCAAAAGTGGGCGCGACTTCCGGTTTGAAGTAAACAAAGCGCTACTTGACATGCTTGACACTCGTTCACTCAACAGTTGACAGTCATTCAAGTTATAGCGATCCAAACTAGCTAACGATGTGGGAACACAACCTCAACGAAATTAAAAAGGGTGAAATAACAGTGCCTTTACCCTCTGCAGTAGTTGATTGGGAGTATTATAATAACATTATTAATAATCAATACTGATCAAGGCATGTTGACAGACAGTTGTGCGAGCTGACAAACAATTAAAATAAAAAATACACACTTAGTCATTGTGCTTTGGAGTTTATTCAAAATTATAAATAAATGTGCTACTTGATACATTAACTGGCACATTTGGTATTCTGTCAACACAGGCTTTAATCCTGAGTTTAGGTGTAACATCAGTAGTGAACAGCCAATCACATGCTGATAGAGTTTATAGAATATTAAGATTTTAAACAAATGTACACAGGATGATTCGTCGTCTTTTGGGAGGTGATGGAAACTTTAGTCGTTGGTAGGATCACTGTGATTTCGTTTTCAGCTTATGTTCAAAACAATCACGTTTAAGCCACTGAATTAGTTTAGTCCGGTTATACATACAACCGCGAACAGCGCATGTTGTCCCTGAGCTCCGTAACGACATCTCTCATAAAGATTGGCGTCTTTAAATAGTAAAATAATTCTCCGAAAAACAGCTAGCCTCTTCGCTAACTAACACACAAAATACCATTGGAATGCTACTTCCGCCGCCTCACCGGAAGTTTCACCCACTTTATTTTTTACATGAGCACCCCTCGGAAACTTGTGGATAAGGTTTGAAACAAACTGAGGTGAGTAAATGATGACAATATTTTCTTTTTTTTGGTGAACCCTTTAAGCAAACACACAGGAATATCTCTTGTGATGACCTTGCATCACCTCACCATGGCCCTCTGTCACCTCTCCCCAAAGGAATATCACAATCTCCCTAGTCACCCATCTGCTGTCAGATTCATATGTATATATATACATAACGAAAGTCACTCTGAGACTTGTCACCTTAATTCCACTGTGTCTGTCTCTTTCTCCAGCCACACTCATGCTTGAAGAGATGTGCAGGTAATCCTTCATTTCTTGCATGAGAGCTTGCCTGCAGAGAAGGAGCTACAGTATCCTTTAATTCAATATTCAAGCGATGTTCTTCAATAGATCCTGTGAATTCATCTCCTCATTGTTAGAGAAATTAGATTCTTTCCAGAACATCTTGTTTTTGGATGAAGAAATTGGCAGCATGACACAAGATGTGCAATGCATTGTCAGTGAATCAGTGAAGCTTCAGCAAATCTCATTACATGTGCATATTTCCTCTTTAATTTTAGAGCGAGATGCATTATGAGATGCAGATTGTGCAAACAGACACATCAATATTGTGATAACACAGTCTCATCCCAAGTCGTCATATAACTGACGTCTTGGGACCATACGTCAACATCCGCCTTTTTAGGGCACCCTTAAACGTCGGTTAGTTGATGATTCCGGGCCGTCACAACTGACGCTTTACCTTTAACGTCAGTTAGGTGACGGGGTAGGTTTAGGTCTGTGGTAGGGTTAGGATCCGATAACGTCATCTATCACAGCCCCATCATATATCACAGAATTACTACAGACTTACATACCCACGCGCTCACTCCGTTCATCATCAGCAGGATTACTGGCAACTCCAGACATCAGACTGTCCACAATGGGAGCTAGGGCCTTCTCTCATGCTGCACCAAAACTCTGGAATTCTCTTCCCCCTCACATTCGTGCCATAGACTCAATTTAACAGTTCAAAACCACTCTCAAAACTCATCTTTTCAAGTCAGCCTATAAACTTTAAGCACCTCACCTCTCCCTCCATCAGCATTAGCCTGTTGGATGCTTTTATACTTTTATGCTTTATACTTTTAACTATAAGTTTCTTTTCTTAATAGCTAATACTATTGTACTTCTACTTTTGTTGTAAGGTGACCTTGGGTGGTCTGAAAGGCGCCTAAAAATTAAATGTATTATTATTGTTATTATTATTATCTAACCGACGTTTAAGGGTACGCTAAAAAGGCGGATGTTGACGTATGGTCAAAACACGTCCCAAGACGTCAGTTATATGACGTCTTGGGATGAGACTGTGATCATGGTCTTCAATATGAACTATTGTGTTTTTACGTTAACCCTTGACTAGTGCAAATTGAATTCATGAGTAGGAAAGGACAGAAAGATAAAGCTATAAAATTAGAGGGGAAACCCCTAAACATTTATGAGCGACCTCTGATTTGGTAATTAAACTTTACAAAGCAGATGGGATAATTGTAACTGTGATGTGAGATTGCTATATAATGTCATGTTCTGTTAGCACTGAAATTCAGTGACTTGGGTTTATAAATAATGAGCTATAATTTTCGGATCATAATTTTGGAACCCTAGGTCTAAATAAAATTCTACACAACCCTTAAGTCAAGCCCTACAAAATTAAAAACATTTTTTTTCCCATTTTAATTTCCCATCATTACACATCATTAATGTTGAAAACAATTGAGCTGCTTATTTCTTTTGTTCATTTGTTTATTTTTTTTTATTATTATTATTTTTTTTTTGGTGGACACCATAATATGTATTTCAGGATTATTTAATAAATAGAAAGTCAAAGGAACAGCATTTATTTAAAAATGTGTAACTTCTTAAATGCATTTACTATTACATGTATTCAATTTTAACATTACACATACTGGGAAGAATTAAAGGAATGTTCCATGGCCTGACATCTGGGAAGTGTCCTTTCCCTTTTGTTAAGGTCATTTTGGAGGGCTCTCTGTTATTAGCTGTTCTGCGCCCTCCTTCTTCAAATGCCCTGTAAATGATGACATAGCCACTTGAAGGATCCTGCATAGGGCTTTTAAAATGCATTTAGATGATCCCCACAACCATTTGGAGAGCAGAAATCACTAATAATTCAGCATAATAAGTATGTTGGCACTGCTGAGTGCACATGGCGTATAGGTCAAAATCAAATATTAGTGGGTGCAAGTGACTAATACTATGACCCTCTGCATTCTTTAAACTACTTCAGTCAAAAGTTGTTTTTTTTTTTGGCTTAGGCACACCACTGTACCACAAAACACTGACTGGGAATGCAGATTTTGCCCTATGCTGCCCACATGTCAGCATTCAAAAATGTAATATTTTATAATTCCAGTTATTTAGCTTTAACCATCTTCTTTTAAGTTTGATGCTAGGTCTAAGGATGCTTGGCTCTATACTAAAAAAACGTTAGTCAACATAACTATATTTATTTGGTTAATTATATAGTTAGTACATGTGTTTTAGTACAATCCTCTGGTGTCATAAGCCAATCAGCTCCAACGTGATCAGTCACATGACATTTACAGCTCAGATGATTTGCTCAAACAAAATCGTGTCTGTGCATAGTTTTACAGCTGAGCAACTGATAGCTAATGCACAGCATTCTTTCAGGTATTATAGGCCTCCTCCATGTAGGCTGTGTTGTTTGCAATTAACCTCAGATTGCAGGGACTTCCTAGAATCCACCACACACTGTTGTCAGCTGTGATTATAATTGAGGTAGAGTGGCGACTGGAGATGTCTTTCATCTTTGAAAGCCAGCCTTCATATCATCTATCCTCAGTGCTGCCTCCAGATGTTACGCCCCTCAAGAGGGCGGAATAAATGTCTGAAACCTAATGTGCATATATCACATCACACACATTCACCCTTTTGTCAGTCAGTTGGCCTTTCAGTGTTGATACAGTTATAAATCCTGCTGGTCTCAAAGAACAGCATTTAGTTTGATTAAAAGGAACAAATGTATGTGTTTCAACTGCAAATACAGGAGCGACTCACCTGTTTTATTTATGTGTTCGGATTTGTTTAATAACAAAGGTGAATGGATTTTGTTCTTGACCTCAGAGCTGCTGTCATATGCCTTCTCAACATGCTGTGCAAATGTGCCCATGTAGGCACTGATGAGGCAAACACTCCCGTTTAAGCCTCAGATCACATATTCTACCACAGTTGCAGAATAATATAATACCTGAAAGAATTGAAAGACCTTCTGCAGGAGTAATTTGAAAGTATTAATGGAAGATCAGGTTAAAAAAAAGGCTTTAATAATCCACTCAAGCAAACACAAAAGGCAGGCGAGCAAACACAACAGTATGATTAGCATGACCAGACCAATGAGGACTAAAAAACTGCAACTTAAATACAAGGCAAATTGGGGTAATTATGACAAACACTTGTGATAATTAAATGAATCACCATGACAACTCATAGGTAGCGGGAAACTAAACAATGGAAAACAGGAGCTAATAATTGCAAAGGGAAGATGGTGAAGACACAGAGTGCTGCTAGAACGACCAACAGAGGGAGGAGCCATGATGGAGACCAGGTGAAATTTCGGATGACCGTTGGAGATGGTGCCTTTGTTAGGGCATCCCATGGCGCAGATGGAGAGCCGATGGAACTGAGCAACACTGCAGGCACTGGAGACCAAGGCGAAGTCGCGGTGATGAGCTTCCGAGGTGGAACCAGAGTTCTCGACGACTGAGACAGAGCCGGTTTGACCAGGGCCCGACCCTGACAGGTCGACGGGGCAGAGGATGAGCGAAGGGATCAGCTGCCGGAGCCATGGGATCCCTTCGCATAGGTGAGGCTGTTGACTGAAAGTCCTGAGGCTTCTCCAAGCCGCAGGGCATAAGAGGGGAATACAAGCCTGAACCACTGTAGGAAATCCACCCTTACTCTTCCACCTCTCTTCCTTTCTGAAAAATAAAAAAAAGGAAAAGTCTTTCCCCTCAAAGAGTCAACATTAATGGAAGTGATGATTTTCTTGTGCGGTCATGCTTTTCCAAAGGAGACGAAGAAGATTTCAAAATAAAATGTATTAGTTAAATCACAAATCACATATCAACCAATACCAAACAATGAGTGACAAAAACAGAGGAAATATTAATATAATTTTATATTATATATATATATTATATATGAGAAAATATAATTTTTCCTTTTTTTTCAAAGTATTAATTTCTTTTTTTTAAATCTCCAAACTTATGACAGCTTTTGAATGGCATAGTGTCTTTATGTTTGGATATACACTGATAGGACGTATTAACAGCATTTAAAACATAACAAATGTATACACTTGTAAGAGTTTGTCTCAAAGCTTGATCATTGATGGGGAAAAAAGTAGCATTCAGGGCATTTTGCAAGAGAATGTACATGTAAGGCCTGTAAATGAAGCTCAGTGGAGGTCAGGTGATGCAAGAGGACAAGGACCAAAAGCACAGAAGTAAATCTACAACAGAATGGCTTATACATAAAAAAAAAATGCTTTGTGGAGTGGTCCAGTCAGAGTCTATTTGATTCACATCATACATCCCAACAATATTGCTGAACAGACGCAGTTTTTAAAGAGGAATGGTGTGAACTTCCTCCCGACCATTGTACAGATCTGATGTGTAATGATAGAAAACGTTTGATGGAGGTTATTGCTGCCAAAGGAGGGTCATCCAGTTAATAAACCCAAGGTCTCACATACTTTTTCCACCCTGCACTATGAATGTTTTATGAGGAATGCATTTGTCTATTGTTGTGTGTTTATGGCCTTTTTACACAGTAATAAGGGGGTAGCATATGTTTTCCTGTGTTGTCTTTTGTTTTAAATTAGCTGTACATGATGTATGAATACTCTGTCTGTTATTACAGTATTGTAATGCATTTTTTCTCCATGCATGCTACAACAAATAGCTACTGTGTCCGGAATGCAGGTGGCATTGGTGACTGTGGATTTGTGCTTTACTGGTTTAAGGAGGTGATATGGCCTGAGCCATTTTCACTTTGCATTAGATTAGCATTGTGTAGTCTCCAGGGAGCCACATTCCCCCATATTATGAAAGTATGCCATTTAGTATGCCATAAAGCTCAATTTTGGGCTTTTTTGTTTTTGGCCTTACAGCATTTAGCTGAAATACACTGAAAGTGAGCTCAGGCAGTTGAATATGTTGTTGAAGGGAACAGGACATGTTTTGTTAACACAGTCTCATCCCAAAAAGTCATATAACTGACGTTTTGGGACG